TTTTGGTTTTTCTCAGGTACCAGGAACCGAACTCACGACCTTGCGCTTGCCAGGCAGGCGCTTTTGCCGCTGAGCTAAATCCCCAGCCCCTCCTTTCTCTTATTATCAAGGATTCTGATACAACTTCCTCATCAGAGCACCAGCCAGCCTTTAGCCAAGGGAAGAAGGAGTGAGGGAAAACCACAGTGGTAACAGGGAATACAGAAGAGAATGAGTGCGGGAGATGGAGGGCAGTATGAAGCCGCAGGGAGCAGCCCAGGAGGCTAGGTGAGGAGAGGCCTGCTGAGGGAGGGCAGGAGGAATTGGGGCTGTGAGCCCGTATGGAAAGATTTCCAGGAAGCAGGCAGTCTTGGGCCTGAGGCCTCAAAAGTCAATATATGCACTAGGCAACTGAGTTAGAACCCGGTATGGACCTTCTCTGTTTCTGTTGCTTCCCTACTCCCACCTGACCCCAGAATTTACTGAGCATGTCCAGTATGCAGGATACTGTGCAGGTGCAGCTCTCAGAGATGAGTCCTGAGGGCCCCTCTCTGCTGTGCCACAGGTTCTTTCTCCCACTTCATCTACTACTAAAACACTGACTTCAGCTACTTACAGCTGCAAGGTGCCCTTTGGAGGTGCTAAGGTATTTGTTTCTTACAATAGTTTCTCTAATAAATTGAGATGAGATTCACATAATATAAAATTAACTATTTAAATTGAACAGTGGCACTATACTGTTGTGCCTCATCTAGTTCCAAAACATCTTCATCACTGCCAAATAAAATTCTATACACATTAAAAAAGTCACTCCCCAGTCCCCCTTCTCCTTAGCCCCTGGCAACCACTAATCTGCTTACTCTCTCTATGGACTTGGCTGTTCTGGACATTTCACAGGAATGGAATCATACAGTAACTATCCTTTAGTGACTGGCTTCTGTCGCTGAACGTCATGTTTTTCAGGTTCATCTGTGTTGTAGGAGGTGTCAGGGCTTTACTCATTGTCGCTGAATGCTTTTCCTTTATACAGTGGACTGTGTTATTTATCCATTCTTTTTGGTGTCTTCCCTTTCTTGCTCTTGTGAGTGGTACTGCTGTCAACTTGCAAGTGTAACCATCACCACAGAAAGCTCCAAAGGTCCAACTGGGCAGCATACACTGAGCAGCGAGCAGTGTCTGTCTTCCCTTACATGGCAGATGTGTCCAGGCCTCAGGATGCTCCTTCCCCTGGTCCTTATGATGAATCATTACATACTACTTCATGTGCTAGCCCCAGAATGGGAACAGCTCCTCCTCCATCTTCATGAAGTTTATTTTCACTCAGCTTTGTGAAAGTTGTTTCATCAGAATCCAGATTAATCTATGTCAGCTAAGAAAACATTGGGCAATGTTTTAGATTTGTTTTATTTCTTTGAAATTATATAGTAATAATTTGAGCTGGGCATGGTGACACATATCTGTAATCCCAGCACTCCTGAGACTGAGGCAGGAGTATCAACTTGAGTTGAAGGCCAGCCTGGGTTACCAGTGAGTTCAGAAGGCTAGCCTGAACTTCATAGTGAGATCCTGCCAAAAGAAAGAGAGAAGGGGCGGGGGGAGAACTTAAAAATTGTTTCAGTGGGATAAAAGGAAGTTGGTGTTCAAATTATAAATTTTGAAAGTGTGCCACTCCCTAGAGGCTGGTGTGGTTGTAGACGTGGCTGGTGGGTATATTACCCTTAGGAAATGTTGTATAGCTCCTGGAGCACACCTCACACAACAGGGGTCCAGGTTGCTCTGGAAACTGTCTCATCTTCTCTTCCCTCAGGCTGACAACACTCCTGATTCCAGAATCTGCTTCTATGATGTTGAAATGGACACAGTGACTGTCTTTGATCTCAAGACTGGGCAGATTGATCAGAGAGAGACACTACCCTTTAATGGACAAGAAACTAACAAGTAAGATTGTGTTTGGGAGGATTTTGTAGAAAAGATGTTGAAAACAGTATTTGCTTACTTCTCATCATTTGGATAGGTCATTGTTAAGTTGTATTTCAAACTTCAGAAGACTTTACAGCAGTTGCTAGTAGCAAAAACAAAAAACAACAACAAAACTTCATAGAAGAATCACAAGTTTAAGTCCACTCTAGGCAATTTAGCAAGACTCTTTCAGAAATTTTACACAGGCCTATGGGTGTAGCTCAGTTTGAAGGCCCTGGGTTTAATTCCCAGTCATGCAAAAACAAAAACTAAAAAATAGGGCGAGCATGGTGGCACACACCTATAATCCCAGTTACTTGGGAAGCTAAGGCAGAAGTATCACAAGTTTGAGGCCAATCTGAGCAATTTAGCAAGGCCCTGTCTCAAAAAGGACTGGGAAAATATAGCTCAGTGGTTGAGCACCCCTGAATTTGATCCCCATTAGCACAAAGATTAAAAAAAAAAAAAAAAAAAAGGAAACATCCTTGGGCAGTTGAAGTAGATTTTAGTCTTACTCTCTGTCTTCCAGAGTTAAAGTTCTGCAATTGATTGAGTAGGATATGAACTTCAGAAGGGCTCTAGCCACAGTATCTGTAAAAACAACCCAGGAGTCACAGGTCAGAAGGCAACAGAGAAGCCCTGAAAACCACTGAGGTCTCCAATACGAGGGAGGGCACTTGTCTTTGTTTTGTTGTTTTTACATTGCCAGAAATCAAAGCCAGGGCCTCACACATGCTAGACAAGTACTCTACCACTGAGCCACACCCTAAGTCTAGGACTCTTGTCTTCGTAGAGAATGTTTCTAGAAAAAAAATACGGTTTTTCTTCAGGAATTTAACATAGCATATATTTGTAGTTCTTTCTGCTATTGAGAGCGTAGTCATAGGCTTCAAGGTTTTGTTTTTTTTTGTTGTTTTTTTTTTTGTCGTTTTGAGAGATGGTTTTGCTATATAGTTCAGGTTGGCCTTGAGCTCACTTTGTAGCCCAGGCTGGCCTGGAACTCGCAGCAATCCTCCTGCCTCAGCCTCCAAAATGCTAGGATTACAGGTGTGTGAGACTTTAAGATCTTACAGTACTGTATTTCACTGCTGTTTGATTCTTCATAAAGTAAGACAGGAAATCAACAATATGCAGCATGCTGGATTTGAGTCTGTCTCCTTGTCAGTGGAGAAACAGCACAGAGAAGTTATCTTCAAAGATAGAGGGGTAGGATGACAGCCAGGATGCGGTGTTTGTGTGATGAAAATGCAGAGCAAAGAAGCACAAGTAGAACTTTTAGGCTTGGATGGGTTTTTCACAGAAAATCAGAGGAATTAGATTTTTGGATTCAACAGCTTGTTAGTTCTGTCATGTACTATACTGCTTTGCCATTTCTGCTAGGTTTCTGTTGTTTGTTTTTTGGCAGTGCTCTGGATGCAACCCAAGGGATCACAGGTGCTAGGCCAATGCTCTACCACTGAACTACACCTTGAGCCCCACTGTACTAGTTCTAACAGGTCCCTCCTGTCCAGGGCATTTCCTCTTGTCCAGCCAACCTAAAATCTTCCCTGCCTCTCTCAACCACACACTGCCTCATCAGACCTTCTCTGGAGCTGTTTTTCACTGGGTAAACTTTGCCTCCCAACCCTGATGGCATCCCCAGGTGAACACTCCCATCTTCATTTCCCTTCCAAATGGCTCCCCATCCTCCTTCAGAACATATGCCCTTGAATGTCTTGGGTGCACCCCACTCTCCAGAGTTCCCTTTTTCACCACAGCACCTATCTTCTCAGCCACCCAGGTTTAAAAGCTTGGAACTAACCTTTCCTTTAATCCCTACTATCCAAGTCCCCAGTTTTTGTTTTCAGTGTTTTGTTTTATGAAATGACTTTGAACTCATGCCTTGCTGTCCTGTCCTTCCATCTGCTTTGTGTCCTGTACCGGACCAATCTGGTCCACAGTGTGTGTCTGGCACTCTGTGGGTACTCAGCAAACACTCAAGCCAAAACACTATCATGTCTCCCCTGCTTTCTGCTCATGCTCAAGGGCGATGTGCCCATGGGCACATCTCTGGTGTTGGTGTAGGTAGCATCTACAAGGGATGTTCATTTTCTCTAGGACAGGGTCCTGTGCAGCCTCCACAGCCCATTGAGCCTAGCAGTCCCTCCACCCAGGCTTACTACACTTGTCTCCTGTATCCAGGCACCTGCCATCTTTTGAGGTCTTATTCTTTGTCATCCAGTTCATTTAGTCCCCCTACAATACTTTAGGAAGTTCTGGGCCCATAGAACATGGAATTTTAGAGAGGAGCGTGTCCACGATAAAAATGGGCAATGTGACAGGGTCCCCGCTAGAAAAACCAGGTCCTTACTGAGACAAGTTGATGCTTCCCAGCAGGGGGCACCATCCTGCTAGTCTTTTCTGTTTCATTTTGTTTTTTGCTTTTGTTTGTTTTTTTAACAGTAGGAAATTTTATTAGAGAAAAGGAATGGGGAATAGGAATAGGAATAGGAATAGCTCTTGGGAGACAGGAGGGATCCCAAAGGGGTTGCCCTATCCTGCTAGTCTTGGAAAAGATCCCTTTAGGGAAATTCCTGGACCCTTCATCTGCCCTCCACAGTCCAAGCATCACATTCTGTAGTTCCTCAAATTAGACTACACCAGGACCCTTTCGACTAATTCCTAATAATCTGAGAGCATCTTCCAACAGGATGTATGGCAGTGTGAGGTACAAAGGTGCTCCAGAGACAGGGTGCCTGCAGAGGGAGGCCTCAGTCTGGGTACAGTAAGCAAGACGCTCCAGCGCGGGTGTGAGGACATGAAAACAAGACTGCTCTCCTCAGAATTGGGGGTGAATCTTCCCTTCTCTTTTAGGAGCCACATCTTCACAGATGAGAGACTGACAGATTACATTCCCATAAGCCATTACTGGGATCAGAGTGAACCCAGGCTCTTCGTGTGTGAGGCCATGCAAGAAGCGCTGGGAGCCCAGGCTACGGGAGACAAACAGCCCTATGCTGAGGAGGCCACCACAGTATCTACCACTGTGCACATGGTAACTGTTCACCAGACACAAGGTCTTCATAACATGTCTTATGGGAGAGTTACTAGGAATATCCATTCATGCAGAATAGTGTTCCCCTCACACCACTCATTGGAAGTAGTGTGTCTATAACTTGAAAGTGATTCTTGTAAGACAGCAAACAGACCTATCTTAAGCCAAGTGGAAAATCTTCGGTGTGGAGTATCTTTCCTCTCTGGTTCCACACTCCTGTCTGGTCTGGCTCCAAATATTGTTTTCTCGGTTCTCTTGTTATCTTAGCTATCGCATATTAGAAACAGTTGATGGGAACCAAGCCCTCAGTGCAAGAACACACTATGATTGAATCTGAGGCAGCATGCTATATTCAGTTTATCCCATAGCATGAGACAAGGCAGGCTCCCCAGTGAGACAGCTTCCTCTTCTCAGTCACTGCCTCTGTCCTCATCACCAGCCTCTAGAGAGCTTCACAGTTCCATGCAGGTACACTCCCAGGACCCTGGAACTGCGTCCTACTAAGGGATAGAACTTGTCTGACACTTCCCAGGTCTTATGTCGTGTGGATATCAGACATTCTTGGGAAATAATCTAACCCATAGGACCTCTCGATTTTACTCTCAGAGTAATCTGTAGGATGAAGTAGGATTCTCAAGTCAGCAAATCACATCCCACCATGGTTGTGTCTCTAAGGACATGTCTCTGAGCGAGAGGCATTCCCTTCCCCAAGACAGTAGGAGTCTCATCTCCCTAAGATTATCTGTAGCCAATATCATTACCCAATATTCTCAGAAGTAAATCTGATTCTTGATCCTAAAACACCAGTAAAATGTATTGAGGTAGCTTCTATGTTATTGAAATGAAGATAAGGGGCTGGGGATTTAGCTCAGCGGCAAAGCGCCTGCCTGGCAAGCGCAAGGTCGTGAGTTTGGTTCCCGGTACCAGAGAAAAACCAAAAAAATAAATAAATGAAATGAAGATATAAAGAACTGCCAGAAAAGTTGTCTTCAAAATAGAGGGCAGCACTGGGTGTAGTGTTATCCCAGAACTCAGGAGGTTGAGGCAGGGGACTGCTACAGGTTCAGGGCCAGCCCATTCTACATAGTGAGTTTAAGGCTAGCCTGAACGACATAGCAAGACCTTGTCTCAAAAAAAAAAAAAAAAAAAAAAAAGATAAGAGGGCAGTATGTCAATCCAGGGAAAATCAGAACAGCAAATGATAGCTAGTGAAAGATCAAGACATGTATGTCAGTGGGAAGGTTATATCCATTTGATCCAATATTTCTGTCTTCAGTGACAGTGAGTGCAGTTGTGAGAATTCATGATGCAGTAGCAAGGAAAGGTTCTATATTTCCTTCACCCCAGTTTATTTCTTGCCCAGGAGGTATTGCAGATCAGAGAAGGCATTGCTTCCCTGGCATTTCTTGTTTGAGTCATGTGTTACAAAACCCAACAGAACATGAAGTTTCTTGGTTGAATACTCCTTATTCCTTGAAAGCAAAGTAATGTGTCTTTTCGTTATCATTGCCATTGTTCATGTATGAATCAGAGTAGAGAAACCATCTTATTAGTACATGTTTGTAGTACATAATGTTTACATTCATCTTAGGGGGTAAGTATATGTATTTAACACATTAATTCTTCTTATTTCCTTTCCCCCTCCCTCCAAGAAGTTTCCATCACCAACTCAGGTGAGACTGATGGTCACTCAGAGTCTGGTGGTCATTGACCTATGGGTTGTATTGTTCTGGAAGATGTTGGGTTCTTCCAAAAGGGGTAATAAGAGCTGAGAAATCCTGATAAAGATGGATGTGGCAGCCACACACCCTGAGGAAAAAAAGAAGACTGCATACTGGCACTCCTCTCTGTTTTCTTTGGATTATATAAATATGCTGGCAGTGAAAACAGAAATCAGAAGGAAAGTAGAACATTATACTGTCTAATTAAAAACAGAACAACATTGTCCTTTCTCTCCCAGGAGGATGTTTTGATTTTGTCATTCTTCGTTTCCGAAGATCATGGCTTCTTGCTCCATGACAGCTTCCCTCGACCTCCTGCCTACCAAACCCTGCTGGGAATGGAAGTGCCCCATTATTACTTCACAAAAAAGGTGTGAATACATGAAATCTACTGAGTAATGTTGTTCTCTTTGCCTAGCAGGGGCTCTTCCAAGCATCTCTAGGGTTCTGAGGGTGAGTAGCACACCGGGGTTCCCAGATCATCTCTCATTAAGCCAGATCAGCATCTGCTATCATTGGTCACCAGAAATGCAATGAACACCACAGTCTCCCGAAGTGGGAAAAATTATTAGAAGTTGCTTTGCTCTCAGGGTGGACAGAAGTTATACTGATGAGCAGTATAGCATGGTATTGGTTGGGCCAAGATCCTATGCAAGAAAAGGCCCTCTTGTTTTTCCTCCAAAGGCGTGATATCTTTCAACTTGTCTATCTTTTCTTCCTTATCCTAGCTGTTTTTCAAAAATTACACATTCTTAATCCCAGCACTTGGGAGGCTGAGGCAGGAGGATCATTGTAAGTTCGAGACCAGCCTGGGCTACAAAAGTGAGCTCAAGGCCAGCCTGAACTGCATAGCGAGACCCTGTCTCAGAAAGACAATAAATAAATAAGTAAGTAAATAAATAAATAAATATTACACGTTCTATGGCTGGGGATGTGGCTCAGTGGTAGAGTTTTTGCTTTGCATGTATAAGGCCCTGGGTTTGATCCCCAGCACCACAAAAACAACTAAACAAATTACATATTCTGCCTGGCATGGTGGCACATGCCTATAATCTTAGCACTTAAGAAGCTAATGCAAGGTGACCTCCAGGAGTTCAAGTCCAGCCTGGGCTACATAGTTTGTTCAAGGCCAACCTAGGTTATATAGCAAGACCCTGTCTCAAAAAAAAAATACCAAACAAATAGAAATTACACATTCCTATATTCACTGTATGAAATTTAGAAACTACAAGTAAAGAAGTAAAAACCAGTGACAATGCAAATCTCTGTGACCTGGAACCAGAGACAGTTACTGTGAAGGCTGGTGTGAATAAGTCACCTGCCCATAGTATTTTTTAGATTTTTGATAGAATGGCATCATTTTCTTCACACAAGAACACACACCCTAACCAGTTTACTCTAAACAAGTTCTTTACCTTCCCTGGATGTAGTCTTCTCATGTGCAAAGGTCCCTTTTATAGCTGAAGTCAAGTCAGTGTGATTCTGAAATGATATGCAGATAAAAGGTCTACAGAAAAGTGGCCCTTCTATCCTAAGACATCCTACATCCAGGTGCACATCCTCAGGCTATGAGTGATTTATTTCCCTTTGCTTCACCAAACAGTTCATTGTTCTCAAGCTCTGGAAGCTCTTAAATTATTTTTAATGGCCTTTCTATCCAGGAACCTGGCAGGCCTGCATGCAGGCTTAGCTGCTGCCTGACTGGTGCAATCAATGAGCCAAGCGTAGTGTTGTGAGGCTGGGCCCACTACTTCCACCTGAGCTGCAGCAGAGGCTGCGAGGCTTTGATCCCATGAAATAGGGACGCTGCCCTCTTTCTGGGTATATCACAAACATGTAGGCAACCTTCTATGTGTTCTACTGTTATTTCAAAAGGACTAAACAGTGTCAGCTTTATCTGGTGTTTCTGATTTTTTACATAAGATGACTTAAAATCAGTCTTAAAAACAAGCCTTGTGGGATCCAGGAATTTTAGCTTACTGATACAGCGCCTGCCTGATAAGCATGAGGTCCTGAGTTAGATTCTCAGTATAAAACAAAACAAAACAAAACAAAACAAACCACCTTATAGAAACAAAATGAACCCTATACTTTCATAATTTTGTACAATTAACATGTATTACTTTTGCAACCAGAGTTACATGACAGTAAGGCAGTGGGCATTTAGAGCAGAGAAAGACCTGCATCTTCTTTGTGGTCCCTTCCACGTGGCTGTGTAAACCAACCTAACTGTTAAGCAAGCCACACAGTTCCCAGCAAGTGTACAGGCCCCACCCAGGTTCTTCCCAGGTCCAGGTTTGCTTTAAAAGGAGTTAGCATAATGGACAGGAAGAACAGGGCAGGAAGACATTGCCACTTAGTTTGTGACAGTCACATGACCAGGTATATGAGGCGGGGGTCTCTGGCTCTGGGCTCTACTGGACTCCCAGTATAGTGCTACACACACTCAGAACAAGAGTGAGTCAGGGAGCTGAGCATGGAGGCACACATCTGTAATCTCAGCTACTCATAGAGCTAAGCAGAAGGATTATGAGTGCAAGACCAGCCTGAGCAACTGAGCAAGACCTCATATTAAAAAAAAAATAAAAAAGTGAGTCTGGGTGTAGTTGCTTCCATTGTTCCAGGTCACTGTATAAAGCAGTATTACATGACCAACCATTACAGGTTGGCATGGAAAAACTTTACATGTTACACTTCTACATGAATTAACTTATTTTGTTTTGATTTTTGGTTTTTTGAAACAACAGTCTTGCCATGTAATCCAGGCTGGCCCTGAACTCCCAGGCTGGCCTTGAACTCATGGTGATCCTCCTGCCTCAGCCTCCTGAGTGCTAGGATTACAGGTGTGTGCCAACATGCCAAGTTGTTTTTTCTTTTTGAGATATAATCATGTTATGTTGCCCAGATTGATCTTAGACTCCTGAACTTAACTGCTCCTCTCACCTCAGCCTCCTAAGAAGATGGGAGTGCAGGCATGTGCCACTATGCCTGGCTTTTATGTGCATTAAAATGGAGTTGGTCTTGGTAAAGACTGGGAAAGTCTTGGTGTGATTTGCCAAGTTCAGAGAGCCTCCTCTGTCAGTGCAGGTGGCCTTAATTGCCTTATTTTAAGTAGATTACTGCCATCAAACTGACCTTTTCTGAATTTCATTCTTATTCTGTACTCTTTGTGTCCATTAATTTCTCTATGATTTGAGAACTTAAAAAGTTGGAAACAATCTTTTAAATTCTTTTTATTGAGTTACTTCTAGTTCATTTCTTTCTGTTGAGTTCATTTAACACTGTAGATTTTGTTTCATCTACCTATTTATACATCTTTTCTTTGTGTCTCTCTGTCCCACCTGTCTGTGCGCTGTACTCATAGCTGTTGTTCCAGCAAGGAGGCATATATGACACCATTGTAAGTAGAGAGCCTCAGTTATAGTCTGTCACCTTGGCTTTGTTATTTCTTAAGACCCTTCTCTTCTGCATTTTAAGCAGTGTTGTGTGTGCGCTGACACTCCCCACCAACCTGTGTACCCACACCTGCGCCGACACTCCCTCCCATCCTGTGTCCCTTTATGTGCACCAACACTTGCCTCCTAGTATATGTACCCACTTGCACATCTGACACTTCTTGCCTAGCTTGTGTATGTGTGTACCCCAACATTTTGTCTTTATCCTGCTTACTCATCCATATGAGGAGCTTTCTGGGTGGCAGAGACACCAGAGCCAGCTTTTGGGGGATGGATTATTCAGAAATATTATCAGGGCTTTCACACTACACTATATCGTTTTCTTTTTATTTTGAGACAGGTTCGCGCCAAGTTGCTAAGTTATTCAGGCTAGGCTCTAATTTGCCATTCTCTTGCCAAGCCTCTCAGGGTGCTGGGATTATACGCACGCATCAGCACATCTGGCTCAGAGCCAGCTCTTTGTCTGAGTGGATGCCATGTTGCCAAGGCAAGCTGGACAGTAGTCGATGGACTATGGGCCTGGTCTGGATCTGTGACATATACAGCCATCTCACCTGATGTGTGTGGCCAGGATAAGCATAGTTGACCCTTATTTGCAACATGGGGAATAGTATTAGTTCAAACTATGAAGTGGTGCACACCAATAATCTTAGCACTTGAGAGGCCAAGGTAGAAAGACCACAGGTTTGAAGCCAACCTGGGCTACATCCAGTGTTCAAGGCCTGGCTGGAGTTCACAGCAGAACCTTGCTTAAAACAGAAATGAAATCTGTCCTTATTTTGATTATTTGTGTACATGCAAATTTCTCAGCCTCATTGGTTCCAGGTTTCTAGTGCTCACACATTATTTTTGAGGGTAAAGGGCTAGGGACTTAGCGGCATAGCGCCTGCCTGGAAAGCATGAGGTTATGAGTTCGATTCCTGGTTTAAAAAAAAATTTTTTTTGAGGGTAGTAGAGTCTGACAACTCTTAGTCCCCATACTATGGCTCCATGTGACCATAGCAGATTGCTCCAGGAACCAGGCCTAGTATGCTGTATATGTCATGACCTGGAGGAATGTTTCTTGTTCTTAGGGAGCCTCTTTGGAGGCTTACTGTACTAGGTTAACAACTCTACTGAGAAACACGAGTGAAGGGTACAGAACTCATCCAGGTTATGATTTAAGAAAATTCTTCCTGAAGTCAGGCCATTGTTCTTTAATTCTGAGAGACCTCACAGAGATGTACACGTCTGACTTATTTCAAGCTGGTAAAAAGTCTTTATGATTAAGAAAACACACTCCAGCTAGGTATAGTGACACACACCTATAATCCCAGCACTTGGGAGGCTAAGGCAGGAAGGTTACACCATTTGAGGCCAGCCTGGGCCTCATAGTGAGTTTAAGGCCAACCTAAACTACATAGCAAGACCCTGTCTTAACAAAACTAACTAAAACACTTCAGAGATGGGAATAATTATAGCCATTTTTAACTGTTGAGAATCTGACCTTAGGGAGTTAGAGGTTGAAAAACAAGTTTACACCTGGACCTGTTTATACCTGTTACCTGAAGCTAAGGCCCAAAGCTCTGATAATTTTCAGGGACCCTAAAGGTTTTCCAGGACCCTAAACAGATCACTTGAATACCTGGGTGCATCTGCAAATGGATTTTCCCCAGGACTGATAGCTATCTAGAGAAAGGGACTTAGGTGTATCCATTACCTTGACATGTGACCTGACAAACAAATGGGACCTTTGTTCTTCAGCCTGGAGAAGCAGATGGAGAAGAGAGGGTGCATTCTGAGCACCACCATATCCCCCAGATGGTGGCCAGGAGACCTTTACGAGACTTTGTAGGGCTGGAGGACTGCGACAAGCCCACTCAGGATGCTATGCTCAATTTCAGCTTTTTCATCACTGTGGGAGACATGGATGAAGCTTTCAAATCTATCAAACTCATCAAAAGGTAAGGATTCTGTTCACTGAGGTATCAAAAAGTGAAGTGCATACCTCTTAGAGTCTTTATTTTCTCTGTGTCTTCCTTCTCACTTAGATTTCAAAATCACTAATGCTTTTGTGATTGTATCATGGTGTATTTAATAATCTTTTCACTCCATGAGCTGCTGAGCTCAGGGATGCCAGGACATGTCTGGAGTACTCTGCTGTACAGCAGATGTATTTGGTAAAACTGGTGAACTTGGCTGTTGGCATCTGGTACTGGGAGCCTACAGGATATAATTTGTTTTCACGTATTTACAAGTATTCAGGTTACTTCCTAGTCAAAAGTTCATGGTTGCTAAATATTGTTAAAAGGTTTTCATAAGTAAACAAAACTAACATGGTGAAAAAATCCAATTAAATTGTAAAAGAATGTATGTGGCAGGCTGGGGATGTAGCTCAACGATAGAGTGCTTGCTTACTGTGTACAGGCTCTAGGTATGATCTCTAGTACTACACACACACAAAAAAGCTGTCATTCAAGGGCCATCAACAAGCACCACCTTCTTGCCTTCCTGAGAGAACTCAAATTCGTCACAAGAGCACTTGATAGATTTTAACTTCAAACGGGTAGAAAAATTATGCAAGAGTGACACTTTGGGAAAAGGTAAGACAGTTGCTAAGAGCAGCCATTATCTGCAAGAATTATTTTGTAATGCAGGAGGTACCTCATTTCACAACACCAATCTAATGTAGAGCCCTCACCCACTGTGTTTCTAAACCAGCAAGAGCAGGCTTTTATTGCAGTTTGAAGGGTCTTTTGCCATACTAGCTATGTAGACAAAGAGGAGACCCAGAGAGGCTGAACGGTATAGCCCACTGTCTGGGGTCACCTTTATTTACTATGAAATAATCACAGACCCATAACTGACCATATGGCCAATTCTAAAACTTTAGTGTACTATTCATAGTTGTATCTATAATACTAACAATTACTTTTAATATGTGATTGGAAATAAATATCCCTTGTAGAAAAAAGTCAAGTGGGAAGAAGATAAAAGCTACCTGCTTCCACTAGTGTGCTGTATTGTGGATATTTCTGTACCACATGTTATGTCATAGATGATCAGTCCATAGTGCTTTTTAGTCATTATCAGTCACTTTATATATTTTAAAGCACTGATCCATTTCATTATTTGTTCTGACTAAAGACAAATTCCTGGCACAACATGGGTTTCAGGAGCCAAGCTGATAACCTTCAGTTTGCTAGAAGGTTGCAATGAACAGAACTAGGTTTTTATTAGGAAAAGTGGTGGCCAGATGTCTGGAGGAATTTCTCCGTTTCTCTTGTTCCCTGCCAGTGTCAGTTCCAGTATTGGTTTCCTCTTCTGACAGATGCCTTCTGTGAGCTCCACCTTTTGATGGCTGTGGGGAAGCAGTACCAAGCTGGATCAGAGCAGGTGTCCAGCCAGGCACCAGAACCTGGTAACAGATACAGATAGGAAGTGCAGGGTTCTTTGGGCCAGTTTTGACCCCTAGGGTATAGGGTATAGATCTTAGATGGTTTCTACTCAACCCTAGGAGTTGCAGACTGAGAAAAGGCACCTATCAGGAGACAATGTGGCCTATGGAGGCATTTTGAAGCCCCTCAAACACTCTGCTAAAGAGAGGCTGAGTTTTTCCTTAGGGAAAAGCTAGCAGACTTCATCTCTCTCACTCCATTTGTTGATCTATCATCCCAGGGCCTCAGTTTTCAGAGTCCATGGGAGTATGGACTTCTGAGGCTCCATTGCCCAGAACCAGGATAAGACTATGTGTACCCACAGGTCCTTTTAGCCCTTCCCTTAGCATCAGCCTACAAAAATGATAAGAAAACTGCCCAAATTCTTTTCCCCTGTGTGGTAATATGAATGAATAAAACACAAATTTTAGACAGAGTTAAGTTTGCATTTATTTTAATTTAGAAAAGTGATCAGAACACAATGTATACTTCTGACCTAATTCTGGCATAAAACCATTGTTGCCTGGTTATAAATTCTGATTCACTCAAGGAATATCATGGATATTTCATGAAAAGCTTCCTTAGTGTTCTGCTTTATGAAAGTAAAATGTAACTGGGGACACCATCTCAGCAGATGCAGAATAAATTAATCCCAAACAAAGGTAGAGAGCAAGGTGCCCACACCACCTCCTACCCATCTCAGGCTCTCATCTCCACCCTGGAAACGTGTGTGATATAAAGCCGCATTGTGCCGGCCAAGAAAGATGCTGTCAGGAGTAGAGTGACGCACATAATACATAGACATATGATATTCTTACATAACATACTAAATGTACATGAGTATCGTACGTGGTGTGTGTAGGTAACCCAGGCTTATCCTATGCCTCTGCATAAGCAGGGCCTAGAAGAGCCCATTAGTTTCTAGACTATTCTATTAGAGTGGATATTCACAAGTGACATCCTGAGAAGGGGAAGTCAGCATGGAGACTCCACATAGTCATTGTCCAGACCCCGGCGGAACCGAGCTGTGAGGGAACGGCTGATGACAATCACCCGGGGTGCCATACAGTCCTCCCTGCGGTGAAGAATGTTCCAGATAAGCATGGCAGCTGCCAAGGTTGCCAGGAGGCAGGCACCAATGTTCAGGTAGCAGGACCAGGACAGGTTGGTGTAAGGGCCAATTCTGTAGAATGTCACCAGTCCAATGACCAGCACAAAGCCTGTAGATGAAAAAGAAGTGTTTAGGAAGACATACTCTGAGCCAGAGCCATTTAGAATGGGAGCTGACTGCTTCTTACTGGGCCTTCTGTGTGCCCTCATGGTTTTTGGACCTGGGAGCAGTGGGGGACTGCAGAAGGCAACAGGGTCCTAGGAGCTGTCTCAGGAACCACAAGGTATTGAGCCATTTCCCCTTGCAACAGCCACACCTTACTCCCTGATCCCCAGACAGGCCCAGCAGCAACCTTGTATTAATTTGTTCCAAATCCACGTCTGACTTTTTTATAAGTACTTAGTTCAAAGCCCAAACAAGAACTGTATTTCCTAAATTTTATCTACAAACAGTGCTAGTTGACTTAGTCCGTATTCTTATCCTCAAGAGTTTCGTTCATGGCTTTGGTTTTAGAAGTAGAGGTTTTCTTGTTGGATTCAAGATGGCCTGGAACCTGCATACATAGGAAGAGAACAAGGGCAAGGTTAGGCCCTGGTCCAAGTGTCCCTTTGGTGTGCCTGGTTTCCTCTGCTTCCAAAGAGAAGCATCTGGTTTCGGGTCTCCCTCTGGCCTCTGTGCCCCATCCTCATTTCCTCCCTCTGGTGTTCTTCCTTCCCTGCCTTCTCTCCCTTTTCTAGAGTCTTGACACCAGGAAAGGAGAAGGTAGGTACATCATGGGTTGTCTTCACCAATATGGGTATTACTCCTTTATTTAGGAGTTAATATCGTTGTCTCATTTACTTTTTTTTAGGCAAGCTCTCACTGTGTAGTTCATGCTGGTCTTGAACTCACTGTATAACCCAGGCTGGCCTTGAACTCATAGCAAACCTCCTACCTCAGCCTCCTGAGTACTGGGACTACAGGCATGAACCACCATGCCTTCTCATTTACTTTTATAGCGTTCTTTAAGGAATGCCAATGACTTGACTTCATTAGTTCTTTTTTTTTTTTTTTTTTGGTTTTTGTCCGGTACCGGGAACTGAACTCATGACCTTGCACTTGCCAGGCAGGCGCTTTTGCCGCTGAGCTAAATCCCCAGCCCCAACTTCATTAGTTCTTTAAGAACGAAAACCAGGATTTTCTGCCCAGAGTGTCAGCCTGGGTAATGGGGCCCTGCTGTTTGATTGAGAAGGCAGCACTAGGAGAGTTGCAGGTCTCAGTTAGACTGGAAACCTGGATGGCAGGTATCTTAGTTACTTTTCTCATTGCTGAGACAAAATATCTGACACCCAGAGTTAAAGGAGGTAAGATTTACTTAGCTCGCAGTTTGTAGAAATTTCAAAATTGGCTGGCTCCAGAGCAGGGTGGCATGGCAGAGGGGCTTCACAGAGGAGAAACAGTTCATGGCAGGCAGAAGGTAGCAAAGGCAACAAGAAGCAAAAAACAAGCAACCAACAACAGCATCTATTTTCTGTGTTTATATTTTGTCCCTTAGGGTAGCACTCACACCCTTAATCCTAGCATCACACTATGAGCCAATCCTAGCATCACATCTTTGATCCCATGATCCCAGCATCATCCACTATGGATCCAGCCACCTCCGAAAAGCCCCACCTGTGGACCACATGAGGCTTTGGGAGGACATCTGGATATAAGCTATAACTGCAGGAATGCAGGAAAGATTTCTCCATGCTGCTGCCCAGGTGCTGGCCCAAGGTGCTGTTCCCCTCCTCTACAACTGCAAGGACTCACCAGAAATAGCCTTAGTGTCTATGGACCCCAGCCAGAGCAAGAGTAAGGAAGGCAGGCAGGAGCAGAAGTCTCAGAAGCCCAACAAGCCCTAAGCTGCCCCTGCCAAAGGCCAGCCCCACTTCTTCCCATCAAGCAGCCTTCATCTGTCCAGGTGACTTGGGTGCAGCTATTTCTTTTACCAAAAAGACCAGACTGTCCATTATGGAGGCTCTGGCCAAGCTGCACCCTCCCAGCTGTCCCGCCACTGGTCTGCACATTGATACCTATTTGTTTATGATGGTCCCTGTACCTGCAGCCGCCTCCCTTGCTTTCCTCAGAGAACCAAATTATGTATGACCCTAGAACCATGAGCAGATAAAGATGGGGACAAAAAGAGATGAGACAGGGAAAGACAGGGAGACAGAAGAACGGAGGAGATAACATATCTGACTTTTCTAAATACAAGCATTGTAATCTCATTACCATACCTTCCAGAAAGTATGAATTAAACATTTGCCTGGCTGTATTTTGTCCTAAACAGTGATAGTGACTAATCAATGTGAATTCTCTGTAGTATCTTCTGGGGCTTTTTATACGTGGAGAGCTTCTGTGTACTTCCTTTCTAGTAAAAATAGCTCTCCACTGT